AAATAATTAAGGGGAAATATTTTGTGCATATAATTGTTTTTCTGTCAACTTTTTATTGTGACTGATTTATTAATATACTGATTATTATATTTTAGGTATATTTTTTATTATTAGTATTAAACGCATGTTTAAAAGTAATAATCTCTAATGTCATAGAAAAAATAAACAAATAACAAACCAGGAATAAAGAAGTCAAGATGGTTGTGAAAGGACTCCAGTGATGTTGAGCCTCTGGAGCAGCGATAGACCGGAAGATCTATACCACCCTTCACTATGGTGCCAGTTTTAGTGTACAGCTGAACACCCTCTGGATCTTGAATGCATGCAATGTGCTTCTGCCGCAACTCCCATATGGTCCATATGTGGTCACAGTCAAGCAGTGGCACACCTAAGGTGTCATTCTCTTGTGACCCAGGGAATGCAAGTTGGAAATGAGGATGGTGGTCACTTGTATTCTGCGTGTTTTACGGCTGACGTGGAGGGACAGCTCCTTTTTTGTGATATGTTTCATGATGTCCTCATCCGATGGGTTTTGGACACTGGACTTGACAAGTTGGGCAGCCTTGGCTCTTTTCAGAAGGTTGAGATCCTCACCACTCCACTCAAAAATGCACTGTGACAGTCCAGCCATAAAGGTACCATAGAGTGGATGTGAATCTGTAGTGCACCCTGCTTCAAAATGGTGCATGAAGTACCATGCATCAAGGTGCACATTGAGTTCCTGCCAGGTTGTGAAGAGAGAGCTGACCTTTTTCTCACCACAGCAGTGACGATCTGTATATAGAAGTACTGACGGGGGAACGCCAGCCACCTCATAGCGACGGATGATCCCAGTTGCCATTGGGCGAAGCCCACTTCCCTCACTTGCTGTTAAGAACTTGGCCAAATTCATTTCCAATGTTGGTGACCCAAGCAGCTGCTCCAGCAGCAGCATCAGCAAGCTTTTTAGTAACCTACTACAAAGTTGAAAAAAATAACACATACAGTAATTAAAACAATTATTGCTTGAGCAGCAAGAGAAATATTTTTGAGCTGGGCAGTTGGGGGAGGGGGGGTGTACTATCTGGGGTACTTGATTTGTCTTATTTCTGATATTTTGGTGTTTCCTTTACAAACAAAAGATTACTATCAATATAAAATTTACCTGTTTATAATATTTTACCTTCTTTGTGGAATTAGTCTTCAGTACTACGGTACCCTGCCAAATGTTGACGTGATATAAGCCTTCACTTCCTCAAGCCATGACAGCACATCCCTGCAGTAAACTGTAAGAAGCCAGCCTGCTTTTGGAAGGGCAGGAAGAGATGGTGCCTCATCAAACTTTGTGGCCAGAACCAGTTGTTGTTTGCTAGCCTCCATGAATGTCTGACAACCTGTCAAATAATGGGCAGTATATTGTAGCCATTGTTCTTTATGTTGTTCCGTCAGCTTCTTCTGCAACTGAGTTGAGCTATTTCTGAAACAATGTTGTTTTAGCAATCTCACTACTATCATGTCACAGGCACAGTTGTAGGTGATGATGATAGGAAACTGCTTCCTGTGACCCACATCTAACCGATCAAGGAAACCCTATCTCCAGCTAATACTGTATTTATTCTAATAAGCGCCCAACCTCGAATTAGCACCCACCTCGAATAAGCGCCCATACTAAAGGCAGAAAAAGTTAATAAGCGCCCAACCTCAAATAAGCCCCCACTCCCTCCTCTTCCCAATCAAACTCAAATAAGCGCTCACCCCCACCCCACCCACTTGAGTGAATCAATTCTAATAAGAGACTTCCCCGAGGACTGAGTTTTCTTCAAAGTATTTTAGAGAAACCTTGCTTTGTTACTTCTTCGCGTTTTGTTATTAGCATTTATTGTTTTGTTGCAAAATAAACATATTTCACTTGATGAAAATGGTGAAAATTTAATAAGCGCCCTCCTCGAAAAAGTGCCCACCCTCAAGGTCCAAAACGTTAATAAGCGCCCAGGGCGGTTAATCGAATAAATACGGTAACTTTCCTCTTGCAATTGCCACACTCAAGATGCTTGGTTACTAAGAAGTAGTAGCCATCCAGGTCAAGCACCTTTCTAACATGTGGGTACAGGCGTGCACTGGTAAGAGGGTGCTTAACACAATCATCGTGTGGACAATGCAACCTCATTTGCCATAGTTTCCTTAGCATCCGAAGTAGGAGGCGCCGTGTAAAGTACATGTTTACAGTGGGACGCTGATGCACCCTTAATGATGGCTGGGGTGGATACCACCAAAGCTTATTTACCTTTGACATGTCAAGCGCTGCTTTGTCTTTAATGGTAGACTGTTTAAAAAGCTGCCATGGAAACCCAGATATGATCTTCTTTGGGTAGGCTCTTTTTCCATCCCTCAGGCAAGGGGTAATCTGTGTATGAAATCGATTTTCTTATAAGTCTATTATTATTATTGTTGTTATTATTATAAAACTCTGTTTTTTATAGTAACCCGAACGAGTAACTACTGTTTTTAACTTAGCCTCTCCAGCTGCGGGAGCCGAGAGATGAAGAGAGACAATGATACTGAGTGCACTGTTGACACATTTTTTTTTTTTTTCATTTGAGGTGATCAATCAACGTCTTTGCTGACTGAAGCGCGACAGGACAGACTATTTTGAGCGCTCGAGCTGCGAGGTCGTCTCATTGCGGTAGGAAGGCACTGAGAATGGAGTTGTCAGGTTCGAGCAAGTCACGTTCCTTGCCTCGAATACTTTCTGAATTTAGAAAAGTTGTATTTTTATGGTCTCAATATAAATAACACGTAAAAACAGATAGTTTTGCACGTACCTACAGAGGAAATTCCCGGAAACATGGTCCCATTTCCCTCAAAAGTCAAAATAGAGTCACCTGGCCGCCATTTTGGAAAGCACTTCAGCAATTAAGTCGGTAAATTCAGTAAATTCAAAGTGTGTTAGTTAATTTTCAGCAAATACTTGAGCAATTACTTGAGCAAGGTCGCTCAGCGTTAGATTCCAGTCTACTCGCAGATTTTAACGAAAAAAGGCGGGAAAAAGAGCATGGTTAAGGTTGGAGATGCGTTTTTTGGGTGCTCTAGACGATTTTTTTCCCAACAACTTCGGCTCAACCGCTCTGACGATTCGACACAACTATAGCCTAACAGCAGCCTAGCTGTTCCTGTTTAATCAAAAATCCCCAAAATTTATCATAAATGGCACTAATTTGTGGACTATGATGATTTCATTTCTAACAGTTTTTCCACCCACAAGACGCGAAAAAAGCCAAATTTTCTCACTCCTGACTTGCTACTCTGAGTAGCAATGCTTCTGCGCATGACTGTTAAGTAATAAAGAAGGTCATTGATTGGTTATTGACATTAAGATTAGCTTACCACATGGATGCGTTGTTAGGTCCTTCCAGTAATATAAAGGTCATGCAAACAAGACTACAGACGTGTTACTTCGGTAGCACATATACTAAAATTGGAACGATACAGAGAAGATTAGCATGGCCCCTGCGCAAAAAGTGTCAGCCAATCTTCCCGCCGGAGAAAAAGAAAAAAATAAAGAAAAAAATGAGAAAAATTAAACAATAAAAGAGAAAAAGTATGCCAAAACTAAAGGAAAATGTCTTTACAACTTACGCCAAACAAAATAAAAGACAACGAACTAACATAGAGCAGAACGAGTAGGTATAAAATAATATACACACAGTTATCTTTATTTGCCCGTGAAACACTTATTCCAACAAAATAACTGACAAGAATGTCATGCTCTAAATGTTGTAACGTTTCAAGACAGGCAAAAGATGGGGTTCAAATTAAATAAGACGAAGTGTGCCAGTGAGGTGTTGCGGGCCCAGATCCTGAAAAGCTGCAGTTGTTGATTAGACTTTCAGTTTGTGTTATCATAACTGGATCTTCGAGCAAAGACTTAACAACATTTTATAAGCTTCAGTTACATAGTCCCAGAGAAGAAAACTTTGCAGAAAATCTAGCCTAACCTTGAGTTAACTTAACTGTGTTTCGATGAACTGGGGCCTGTTGAATATGCACTCAATGACAACCCCTTTTCAGGAATGTCTTATTCATGCCCATGTATTATTCACTCCTTTTTCTTTTTAGGAGGAGTTTCTTTCTTTCGCGCCTCCAACCAAGTCTCTTTATTTGGATATTTTTTTCCTTTAACGGAAGGACAAAACGTTTCGACCCCCATTTCCCCAGTATACCTCCCATGCCCATAATCCACTGTTTTTGGAAGTTTACAGTGTTGCGAGGAGAGTTGTTTGGTTGAGCTCGTACAGCTGAATGTTGGTCTTCTGCATGATGCGGTTGTGATGTGTCACGAGAGTTCTTATATGATGGTACTTGTCCAAGATAACTTTCCACCTGGAGAAACTTTTGCCTTGCCGCTTTTGCGAGGAGCTGTATGCTGCCTCTAGCTTTGAACAGATGGCCTCAACAAGTGGGCTGGCGTCTACAGAAGTAGCCGGTCCGGAATTTCCTCCAACCATTGCTCTGGGGAGTCGAACAATTATCTAAGTCAAATTCACAGGCAGCGAAAAAATCAATTATTTTGTATAAGTTTATATGTTAAGTAATGGTCGGCGTAAGAACTAGGCAAAAGAACAATAGGCCAGCGCAATAGCGGCAGTTATTTTTTAGGTGCTAATTTCTCTAATCAAATTAAATCTGAATGCTCTGATTGGTCAATGTAGCGAAAAGTGCGAAATTTGAATTTCAAAGTTGAATTAAGATAGCGTAAGACTCATTCAAAAAACTTTTTATTTCGCCTATCGCTTTGATACTGTCAGAAATATAACATATCTAAAATTTAGAGGATTTCTATGCGCCAAACTCGAGGAAGTTAAACTAATATAAAATTACAGAAGGATTGTTACAGTGATACATCAATCAGCGATCATGTGAAAAACATTTACGTCGGCTCTAACAAAGGAAATGTCAAAACCGTGATCAGAAACAGCAGTAATTCACGCTCACTTGGCGAATGCGCCAATGTCGCGGGTTATTCCCCCACAAATACAGAACAAATAAACAAGAAAATGTAAGAAAAAATCATAACTGTTAGGAAAATGGATGTTTCAAAAAAAGCGTTCCTCGTTATCTGTTTATTATATTTAGGTTAACTCTATAAGAATTTTGTTCTCTCTTCTTGCGTCCTTGGAAAGGTAAATATGGAAACTGCAGTCACTTTTGCAAGACCTTTTATAACACGTTATATTACTACTCAAAACGTGAGAACTCTTATGATCTCTAAGCTGCTGCAACATTACAAGGGAACAAAGTATGAGACTGCTGAAAATTGTCACCTTGGGATTGGCCGACAAGCGGAAGGTTTCCGGCAGCGTCTTATTTCCAGGTATCATTTTTAGATCCACAGTAGCTCCTTGTTGTATCAGAAAGAGCGCAATTCTTCGAGGAAATTTGTCTTACTTAAAAAATGGACCAGAGGTGAGTAAACTTTATGGAATTTGTCTCGTGTGTTTTCCAATCACCGTCGTATTTCTTCTAATGTTGCGTTTTTATTTTAGGAAAAGGGCTTCGACGTCAACATCTGGACCACGTGCAGATGAGGAACCCGGCTCACAGTCAACAAAACGCAGAAAGCTGGATTCTCGCGTAAGTATGTTCGTTTTTTTCCTAAACCATCCGATTGTTTTCCTTCTACTAAGATGAGATTTTTCTTGTGAACATGTAGAGTATGGAATTATGCAGATTATATGGAAAAAACAATCCAACGCCTCAGAAGAGACTGGTAATGCAGGGCCTCAAAGAAGGGAAAAATTTCGCTGCCCTGGCAGCAGACCTCAACGTAGCAAAAGCAACCGCCGAGGTATACGGAATTGATTGCCTTGCTGCTGGCGCAGAATTGGATCACGAGACAATAGCAACCTTCCTGGACGTCACGGAAGAGTCTTTCTCTGTTATAAAACGTGAAATCTTATCCAACGAAGATAGGAAACTACGCACTATTCGTGATAACCTTGGGGAAGTTATTACCTATAACCAAATTCGTTTCGTTATAGCTTGTCTCATACATAACCTGGAGATCTAAGGGTTTACAACCCCCCTCCTTCCCGCTGCAGTGTTTGGGTGTTGATTTTTTTAGGGGGAAGGGGGACGGGGACGGGGACGGGGACGGGGGACAGGGGGCTGGGTTGTTTTGTTTTTGGAAGAAAAAAAATCATAATTATTAGTTACAAATCGGAGTTTTTTGATGGATACGAAATAGTTATTTTGTGTGTGTTAGCTTGTCTCGTACACAACCTGGAAATGTAAGATTGTACAGCCACCACCACCCCCCACCCCCACTCAAAAAATAAATATGTGTGGCCCTATTCCTGTTATGTTGCTGTTTATGAAGTAAAAAGAAAAAACAAGAATGGATGTCAACAAAATGATGCATTCCTTGTAACCATGACAATCTTAGTCATAATGTTATAACCCAATTATCTTTTCCATAATTATAACTATGTTAAGATTTTCTTTGACAGAGGTCATTTATTGTACCTTCCTTGGATGAAATGAAATAAATAATTTATACAAATTCACTCTCCCTCTCTTCTTTTTTCTGGGAAAGGGAAGGGGGCAGTTGTCTACGATGTTGTTCACTATGCATACCCATAACTTATTTCAGAATCTTGTAAATTTTTCTTAAAATTATCACAGTCTGACACTTCTCTGTATTTCATTGATATGTTGACTTCGACAACCACTGAATGAGAAAATTAACTACTACTGCTGCATTGGATACTTCGATGTACGTGCAATAGTGACAAGGATTTGCAAATGAAGACAAGCTATTATAACCAACCAAAAGAGCAATCTGAAAAAAGTTCAGCGACCCAGAAACAACCTTTCTTTCCTTGAACAAAAAAAATGTTTACCCAGGAAAAGTCAGTGTAAAATTCTTAAGGTGAAGAAAAGTCATCAGATTGCAAATGTAATTCCAAAAGTGGCCTTTGTATACTCCTGTCAGTATTATATTCAAGTAAATTTCTCAGTGTTACAGTCATCCAAAAACAGATAACCAATAGTTATTATAATTTCTTTGAGTCTTATTATTGTTCTAATTGTCACGGGGCCATTGCCATGAAAAAAAAAGAGTAAAATTATTTACTACGGTCCATCCATCTCAGCTATTTCTAAGAAACTTCAAAAGTTTTTCCAGGCAATTTTTTTGGCAAATATACTGGTCTGGATCTAACTGACAATTACTTATAATATTTATTTTTTGTTTCAGTACTATGATAAACTTTAACTTCCCATGGTCCCTTTTTTTACTCTGACATTAACAAATATGACTATAATTGCAGCTCTGATTACTTTTCTTAGACCATCAATCAATTATAGTCATATTTGTTAATGTCAGAGTGAAAAAAAGGAACCTTGGGAAATCACAGTTCATCATAGTACTGAAACAAAAAAAATACAGAGAAATATTCAATGTCATTAATACACAACCACCTTTACGGTTTGTCCATCTTAACATAATGACAGCCCTTTCTAAAAAGAAAGAAAAAAAATTTTCGAGCCTTGATTACAATTCCAAGATTTAAATGCACTGAAAAATCAAGGATCTTATAAAGTTCTGTACAATACATGTGAAATTCAACTTAGAGTCGCTTTCAAGCGTTAACATTTCTGAGAAATCAATTATTCATAGATAACCTCAGTTACTGACCCCAGTGTAAGAGGGGATTGCCAGTTGATGTCCATCATTCTATCAATCCAGTCGGTAAATGCTTTCCCTTGACCTGGGCCTACACTGGCAATAAGGGCGCCACTGTTAACATGTGAATGCGAATCAGCAAAATAGAAACTGCCACAGCTGTCAACCAGCAAAAACATTGTTCTTCCAGAAGAGCAAAATAGGAGGCATACTCGGTCTTTCTTGTTAGACAATTCATCAAGAAATTTGGTAAGTAACTGCTTGGCAACACCAGCTCCTCCTAATAAATCTTTTTGTTGTCCAATGCAGAGAATGCCACAGTCCTCTCCAGCCATTTCAGCTCCATCATCCACATTTAGATCAACACCGTCATGATCAAACAAATCATCATGCAATTCATTGCCTTTTATGATTGCCTGCCTGAGAGAATCCTTCCATGAGATGTCCAAGTGAAGTCCATTTCGGGGGGGAAGCAGGCCTTTGGAAGCAATTTGACCAAAGTACAGAGAAATGAAAGCACATGCATTGCTTCCATTCCTTCCATCAAGAGTGGACTGGCTGAAACTTTCTGGGAATGACCATTCAGTTACAACACTTGACAGCTGTGAAAAACGATCAGTCAAAATTGCCTGTGAGATTGAAGGTGATAGTGCCGTAACACTGGAAGAAGGAGCAGGTGGTGGTGGTATGGGAGGGACAGTTGCTGGACTTGTACTGGATGTCATGGCAGGTGTCCTACTGGTTGTCACCCTAGTTGGTGCCATAGTTCCTGTAGGTGATACTTCATTAGTTGTTGTAGCTGGTATTAAACAAGATGTCACTGTACATGTGGGTGGCTGTACACTACATGTCACTGTAGCTGGTACCATTCCGGATGGCAAAGTGGCTGTCATTACACTGCATCCCACAGTGGGTACCATTACACTGGATGTTACTGTAGTTGGTATTACAAAGGATGTTGTTGAACTTAAAGGCACATCTGGCACAGTAGCTGGTGTCACAGCAGGTGGCATATTAGCTGCTAGCTGTTGTCTGTTCTTGCGGTGGTATGTAGACCACCAATTCTTTATTTGGATTGCAGAAAGAACTTCTAATCCTGCATCTGCCATTGCCTTCATGACGTCCTTAGGTTCCGCTCTGATGCGGTTTACCGCTTGCCTGTTATAAAATTCTATCATGATCTCTTTTTGGGCTTGACTAAAAACTGTGCGTTTTCCTGGGCCATGTTTCAGCGCATATCCAGTCTCCAGCCTTAGCAGTAGATGCTGGTCATCTGTAACAGGGTGCAGTGAAGGAGCCACTGTTTGCTCAGGTGCATGTTGGATAAAACTCACAGAATATCTTTCATTCCTCGATGCTGGGAAAGAGGTAGGGCACTGAACTGGTTCTGCATCAGGCTGTTCTTCGGAGGTAATGGCACCAGTTGCACCAGCTATTGGAATGTGACGCCCGCTTAGTTGACATATTTGCTCCTTCTTCTTGCTGGAACTATTTCCAATTCCAGCTAGTGGTCTCATCTGCAGGCCATTGGCAAATTGGCCCTCAGTGGGGAAGATAAAACTTCCAAACAGGGATATATCTTTTAGTGTTCCCACTTTTTTTGCTTTGGACCTATCAATGAGGAGCTTCTTGCATGTTGCATTCTTCATTGACTGCAAAAATCAAAAGAATTGACCGTTTGAATACGACACATTACAGAAACGCGCCCATTCAAAAACGTCGATCGTGAAAATGCAAATAAGTGAAAAATGACGTCAATTTAGTGTCAATCAAGAAATCTCCTGGGTATATCCCTTTCCTGGTTATTGTTCCCGCTCAGACATCCGCAACATTTGCCTATTCTTTGATGAAGAATAGAACTTCACGCGACTAACAATAGCTCAGTCTGTTTAAAAACTGTCTAAACTTACTCCGAATTAGCATGTGACTTTTTGCTGTTAAACGCGTCAAAATTGAAAAATCCTCGGATCATTGTTGTTGATTTTGCCGTAAATAATTCAATGCACTGACTTAAAATGAATTTCTACCTTTTACAAACTTCTTGGTGTTCGAATCGATCGATGAAATATGAGCGCAACCGATGCGTTAATAGTTTGTTTACATTTTGTCACGGGTTTTGGATAATATTATAAACCTTAAAATTTACGGGCAAATTCGACGAAAAAGCACTCTCACTTACATTCTTCATTTAAGATATTGATTTTAGCAAAGTATAAGGCAAAATTAAGAGCGATACTTTCTTTAAGAACGCTATAACTACATATTCAACGGCCAAACCTAGACAGCGATCTAATCCGTCTCTTGAAAACAACTACAATACCGCTTCTGATAATAATATTTATAAACGCTGCAAACATTTTTATTCAATCTTATCGAGTGATTTTCGTGAAGATGAGTTTTTAAGTGAAGAATACTTTGGTTTCTGATTAGCTTTAACTGTTTTGCCATCAAAACGATTCGCACGAGACTACCGAATTCGCGAGGGTTTTATGTTAGTGCACGAGGAAGAAAAATGCTTCTCTTTGCATAAACATTTTCTTCTTTGTAGCAATGACAAAGACATTCCAACACTTAAAACAATGACAGCCTACTTCTATTGTTTCTGCATTGTCTCTTGAAAGTGTGAGAATAGTTAACCGCTATGAAGTTCATAAGAGACCGAAAACGACGGTAGTCTTTGAAACTTCGTTTTTGCTCGCAAAGCCTAATGGGTACCCCACTTTTCACGGGCGACGTTTTTCAATGGGCGCGTTTCTGTAATGAAAACTTGCATCATTGTTCACCATAGTTTGGCCATTTTGGCACAACTAATATGCCTTTTTAGAGGTTATAAATATAATTTATCAGAGATTGTAAAGAAGAAAGGATACTTCATTAACCTTTTTACACTGGTCTGGAATGAGTTAGGTAAAGGGATTCCCATTCTAAAATTTGCACTTGGGATCTAAAGCATATTGTCACTGGTGTAACAGTTGCCATTCCAACAAAAACATTGGCATTAATTCGCCTAGTTCTAATCGTCTTTATAAATGTAGGATTTTTAAAAAAAGGAAATTGGAATCAGTATGCAATATTGCCATTTTAGAGGTTAAAGAGTCAATAGTAAAAAATATATTCATTTACATACCTCTATTAATTCAGCAACCTGCTCTCCGCTTTCTAGGTCATTGCCCAAACGCACCCACCGAACGATTTTATGGCTTATGTGCGCAAAGTGGGAGTCAAGTTGGGATTTCCCCTCTCCAGCTTCGAAGTTGTTGTATTCCTTTAGTGTGAAGTTAAAAACTCTGTTCACCTCAGAGAGATAAAAGAGGACTGCGCTAATGTGATAATGCGGCCCATTATCTAAAAAAAAATAAAATAGAAAAGGCAGAGCTTAGAAAAGAAAAAAAACACATTGCAACACAAGTCAAAAATTTGTTTGTTTGTTTTTTTCTAACTGGACGAAAGGACCTACTCTTAGGAAAAAGTAATGAAAAAAATACCTTCTGTTTTTGGGAAATAAAGAAAAGAACTTTTGAACTGTCTTTTACAATCTATACAACAAGTACCTTTTGAATGGTACATATCATAATCACTAATTTCATGTTCATGTTACTTTGTTCACGAGACTTACCAGAAAACAGGTAGACAGAAAATCCCGGGTAAGCAGTCTCTAACCATCTGAATCCTACGTCAAGGGCACTTTGTGTGAACCACGCATCCTGTTTGGTATCTTCTGACCACAAGTCAATGACTTCTGTTTTCCGCTGACCCTCTGCCACCTGAAAAACATTTAATTCACCCCCCCAAAAAATTACTATTTCATAGTTTTGGGTTATAAAGCCAATCCCTCTTAATACAAACACACCCATATAAAAGGAAACAGAAGAACTTGCAAGGCCCTCAAATGGCCAACAAAAAGGAACAAAAAGTCATCTACCTAAGACAAAACTGTGAAAAGCAAAATTGAGGTTTTGCTATGGCCAGGTGGTAATATCTTCAAAGGGAAAGAAGTGACCCAGAACATACCAAAAATTGCAAATCAACAGTCTCACAATTACAGAATTGAAAAAATTCAGCTTTATCTTTAAAAAATAGGGTATTACTCAATTCACAAGAAAACTAGGTTGAAGGAAGTGTGGACAATGACCCTACATGTACATCTATAAGATGATTATCATTTGATTGGCTATCAGACAATGCAACAACCTAAACTTTCACAATCGTGCCAAGAACTGAACTTACCTGTGCAATTACAAGGAAACCATGTAGAGAAATTCCTCTTTTTCCATACCATTCTCTTTGGTTCTCACGGGTTCTAAGACCAAGCTCAACTTTCATTTTGTAATCGATGATTACAACTACCTCTCCGGGCTGAAGGTTTGAAAGGACATACCGATAGTAGTCCCCCTGATGTTTGGTGCGAACAATGTGTGCAAAGTACTCCTTGTGGTTCAACTCAATCTGTTCCCAGGACTTGGTGAATGAAGCCTTCTTAGCTGCATCATTAATTCCAGTCAGAGCATCTTTTATTTCTTTCCTTAACTTGTGAAAGTCATCCACATTTGAAGAACGATGCATATGTTCTGCTGAGCATTGGCCAAGGGCATAATCCAAACAAAGCTCGGCACAAGCTGAATGCCTCTCCAACTAAAACCCAAATAAAAAAAAAGAACAAAAGTGGCCAAACATTAGAAAACACTTCTCTTTCTCAAAGATGGGTGAAACAGAAACACCTTGAAGATATTGGAGAGATTACTAGTCATGTTTACAGTAGACGACAAACATCAGTTTCAAGTTGAGAATGTCTCAAAGTAGAAAATAAGCATATAAAATCAGCTAAAAACAATTCGTATAAATAAAAATGACGTAAAAATACTTATTTTTCGTAGAAGTAAATGACAGGCAAAGGTCATGTGGTGCAAATTCATGCTTACCATTTGCTGTAAATGTCATTCCTAACCTCTCTACAGTTTATGAAAATATAGTGTCTCAGAACTAGCTTTTTGATGTGCACTTTCAACAAAATGTTCTAAACAGACAGGTGTCAAACAAATAAATGCCTATAAACAGTTATTTCGAATCCTATTAGATTCTCTTCAAGTATTGACACTACCGTTTTATGTTCTTAAAGTATGGTTTCTAGCACCTTGGCATACGCAACCTTTGTTATTTTATTGCTTGATCCACAATTATGAAGACTTTTTCGATCAGCAATACAAAGGTAAAAGCTGCATGTAATAAAATATAATTTGCTCTATTTCTTACCTCTTTGGGGAACTGCACCTTTAGAAACTTCTGATACTGTCTGGACATGCCCGTGAAATTGGAATGGGTACTGACACTTATAACACCCTCTTCTCTGATATTGCCTAATAGCAATTCCAACTCATCAAAGTTTGAATGTCCAAAGACATCGCAAAGGTTGCAAAGACCTGCCAACATTGAGTTCATACGAAAGTTTTTGGGCAAGTGAGAATAAATGTAGGTTCTCTTCAGACCACCAGGAAATTTGAGCTGGTACTGCTGAATAACTTCCTTTATATCACAAAGCCAATATCTTACTCCCGTTTCTTTTGCATCCACAAGCACGCTTCGACATGAAGATGGCCTTGAGATGTCATCTTGAGTGATAAAGTTTTGGAATTCTTGAATGATCTCAGGGCTCACTGCCTGCCTGGTAAATGACAAGCCATCACGGGGGACACCACCTCTCCCAAACAAGATGGCATGAACTCGCGCTGCAGTGATTGTACTCTTTGAACAGGGGAAATATTCCTGGAGTTCTGACATTGAGAAGTCACATGCCACAATTGAGAGAAGCCTTCTTCGTTCGTCCCCAAACTTGCTCAATCGGCCAATGGCTTGTGCCGTCTCTGTTCGATTTTTTCCTTGCCTTACTCCACTGACAATCAAGTTGCTAGTTTTCATGCTGTCACCTATAATAAGTTTGTTGGCTACCTTAGCACCCTGTGCCCGTATCAATTTGCTGCTCTCTTTGTCTTTTGCTGCAATGTAGTCCTTAGCCAATAATTTCAAAATTTTGTCATCGCTGCTTTGTTTTCGGTGCTTGGTAAATACATCCCCAAACTTCCCTTGGAATTTTTGGCTGCTCAGAATGTCATTCACGATGGCCTGTCTACCCTCCTCACCATCGGAAGTATAGTTATCTAGCAATGCGTCTATTTTGCACATAATTTCACTTCTTATGTCCATTTTCCTTCTATGACCAACACATTCATAACCCTGGCGTGTATGGGCATTTTCGGGAACTTGACAAGCTTTGTCCTCTGTCACAGAATGTTCAATGAAAGTATCAGGCTCATCCTGTGGCACACAAACTTCAACTTGTTCATTTTCAGTGGCCGGTGAATCTACTATTTGGCTTGATGAAGCAGCCTACAAAAATAAAAAAGCTGAATGAAAGAAGAGTAACACGGAACACCTAGGTTTCGAAAAGATCTAATACAGTATCACATCATCAGAAGGTGCGAAGATCTACTGACTTCACCTTACCTCAAACTCCAGTGTTTCGCATCTCTTTAAGAGCTTAATTTTGTCCCGGCATAAACTGCAAATCTTTCGTTTTCTCTCCTTGTGTCCAGCTGTACTCCACTTTCCAGAGCCACAGTACTTAGTTTCCTGATATGATAATGAAAACAGCTGCTTTGGACCGACTTGTCCAAATCCCCACGCGTCGTGTTTAGGACAGCAGCAAACACTGCTAAACGGCATTTGGGCGATCCCTCCGGCGACAAATACTCTCAATTTACGATAAATAATATATATGTGTATTCAATAAAAAGAAATCTGAAGATTTGATGTCAAAATTCACGAGATTATGGACGGAGATGACAAAGTTTCCGACAACTTGAAATAGGAAATCCAAGATGGCGTCTCAACAACTTCGCGCGTGGGAGACGTTTTCTCCACTAACTTTTGATTGGCGCATAGGACAATGCTGAAATTTGGCCGTGAGGTATAAAACAAGGGAATGGGTAAGACAAAGCTAACAAAAGTTGTTTTTGTCACGTTTTTCTTTGTTTTTTCGTCGATTTTTGGATTTCAGCCAATCAGAACCCTCCATTTAATTGAAATTAAAAATTAAAAGTTAACACCTTTTAATCGATTTTGCGTTTTGCCTGCCTAGTTCTTACGCGGACCATTACTTAATATTGATTTTACCTCGACGAACTTTGATGTATATCCTCTTGGAAATGTCCTCGGTTAACCAGTTTACGGCATTACAATAACATTCTTATTTCTATGAATCTCACCTTCTAAGGCTAACAAGCCCTGGTGTAATAGTTTGGGTGTGGGTTGTTGCTGGCTTCATCTGCATAAAACGGCCAGGGTGCTCCGCATGCTTCTTATATCGTGGAGGATACAAAACTCTCGATTGCTCAAATGCAGTAGGAAGCTTCTCCCAGAGTGCAACAATTTTATCAGCTATTGATTCTGTAATGACGGTGGCATCCTTCAACAGGAATAACTCATGTGCAAGTTCTTGAATGTCCTTCCATCCTAACAGTCCCCGGGGACCTATTGCTTCCTATTAAAACACATAGTAACACAGTTTAAAATTATGAAAATCTGTGAAAGAAAGGGGCATGGACACGGTCAACCACCAGGATTTGATCCATAACATCGCGTTGTGCCCTTTTAAAAAAGTGTGGTTGATTACCCCTTTTTTTGCGTAAAGGAAATCAAAATAAAAGATAGTGTACTATAGCTTTCAAATTTTATGGTGACATTTCTGAGAGCCATGTAGTGTGTAAGGAAAATGTATACAAGCCATTTCATTCTTCTTTGATAAAATGAGCAGATACTTACATCATGAATCAAATTGAATGAAGCCGTTGTCAGCGTAGACGTCTGGGAGTCGTTTGGAGTTTCTGGGCTGTCTGTTAATGAATAGTAAGTAGTGAAAACCTGCAGTTAACACTTTCATAATAATATTATTAAACAAAAAGGTGCATTGTACGTAAGTACGATGCACCTGCCAATATTCAATATTCACAGATAACTAGACATATCAAAATGTACCCATTGTATCCAATGTATCTTGTTGCTTCTTTTCTTCTTCTATCTGGCTATCTGGAGCCAGTTTTGGAGAAAGAACCGACACAGTTGGATCCTCTTCAAACCCTTCATCGTCAAACACACTGTCTAGTGGGTCTTCTGTTACAAGGCTAGCATCATCTACATTGTCTGTCACATCAGGGTCAAGGTTGCAATGATGACTTGTGTCCCATTGCTTACCAGTTTGGGAGTACAGATACTGCACTCCTATCTTCTCACCTGGTTAATGATACATGTACATTTACATAAGTCACTTTAATAGAATTATACTTGCCAACAGAAATCAGAGAGTTGCACTGCCTGACACATGACATTGCATCCTTACGATACGTTGATGACTTTGGAAAATTTCTGGCCATAGTCGCGTAAGGTAAATAATGGTCATACCCACCTGTGTACTTGTATGGGTCACGGTAGCAATCATCAAATTCAGAACCATAGACCATCATATTAAGCCGGTTTACTTCATGCCTCAATGCACTCTGATAACTTCGAATCTCTGGTCTCCTGGTACCTTCCAAAGCAGCTGATGCACGATCTTCATTCCAATGTACAATGCCTTCAAGCAAATATGCTTGAAAATGCATATCATTGGCAGTTGTACCTGCAATATGAGAGACACAATAAATTGTGATAAAAACCACAAGGTGGAATTAACTATATGGAAAGATAATGGGTGGCACATTTTTCAGTGCTGTTATGAAGAAGCCAGGGTCAATTAGAGGAATAGACATAACAGTTAACAAGTCACTATAACCGTAATGATCTCTATTACCTGGTATAAAACAGTCTATGTGGTTATGAAATGACTCCAGGGATGTGGAACCTCTAGCGCAACGATAAATGGGAAGCTTGACCCCACCCTTTTCCAAAGAACCAGTCTGGGTATATAACTGGACACCAACAGGATCCTGAATGCATGCAATATGGCGCTGTTGTTCTTTCCATATCTGCTGCATGACTTCCTTGTTGAACAAAGGTATTCCCATGGTATCTCTTCCCCTGTCCGATCCAAANTTGTGTCCCATTGCTTACCAGTTTGGGAGTACAGATACTGCACTCCTATCTTCTCACCTGGTTAATGATACATGTACATTTACATAAGTCACTTTAATAGAATTATACTTGCCAACAGAAATCAGAGAGTTACACTGCCTGACACACGACATTGCATCCTTACGATACTTTGATGACTTTGGAAAATTTCTGGCCATAGTCGCGTAAGGTAAATAATCTTCATACCCACCTGTGTACTTGTATGGGTCACAGTAGCAATCATCAAACTCCGAACCATAGACCATCATATTAAGCCGGTTTACTTCATGCCTCAATGCACTGTGATAATTTCGAATCTCTGGTCTCCTGGTACCTTCCAAAGCAGCTGATGCACGATCTTCATTCCAACGTACAATGCCTTCAAGCAAATATGCTTGAAAATGCATATCATTGGCAGTTGTACCTGCAATATGAGAGACACGATAAATTGTGATAAAAACCACAAGGTGGAATTAACCATATGGAATTATAATGGGTGGCGCATTTTTCAGTGCTGTTATGAAGAAGCCAGGGTCAATTAGAGGAATAGACATAACAGTTAACAAGTTGCAATAAGTCACTATAACCGTAATGATCTCTATTACCTGGTATAAAACAGTCTATGTGGTTATGAAATGACTCCAGGGATGTGGAACCTCTAGCGCAATGATAAATGGGAAGCTTGACCCCACCCTTTTCCAAAGAACCGGTCTGTGTATATAACTGGACACCAACAGGATCCTGAATGCATGCAATATGGCGCTGTTGTTCTTTCCATATCTGCTGCATGACTTCCTTGTTGAACAAAGGTATTCCCATGGTATCTCTTCCCCTGTCCGATCCAAACATGTCAAGCAAATCCTTGATGAGTTGCGTTGTTTCGTCTACCCCCCTGGTGCGGCGTTTGCAGTGCCTTGCTAGCTCCATCTTGCTGATATGAAGGACAACATCATCCTTCTGTAAACGCCACACCCCCCTACTGCGGAGCTCTGCTTGCTTTGCAGCACGTAACCTAAAGGAGAAAAGCATACAGTGCATACCGGTACAGTGTCACTGACCACCCTAAAAGTCCCTCTTAGCCATAGCACAACAAAAAACAAAAAATAAATGGAAAAAAAGATAAAAGTGACACCTTTCAAGATCTTCAGGATCCCATTCAAACACACAAGCAGACAACTGGGACATAAAGGTTGAATACAGAGCATGAGACTCAGATGAACAACCAGCTGCAAAGCGTCTGAGAAAATGCCAGATGTCAAGTCTGATCTGCATGTTCTCCCACTGATAGAATTTGGAATTCATCCTCTGGGAGCAGCAATCACGGTCAACATAGAGAACTTGTGGTGACGAAACTTCTGCCTCTTTGTACCGATTCATCAAGCCCTCTGCCATATCCTGCAGTCCATCTCCTTCTGTGGCTGTGAGGACAGACATTAGCACCTTCCCATACTCGTTCCCAACATTGATTACCCATGAAGCAGTGCCTGCTGCCTTTCCAGCTAATTTCTTTGTCACCTATGCATCCAAACCAATACAAAGCAGGTATTAAAAACAACTGTACAATAATTTAAATCATTAATCCATAACTTTTTGTAATTGATATAAAATACCACACTTACCCCACTTACCCGACTTAAAATACCCCACTTAGGCTGCCATAGCCTAATGGTTAGTGGTCGGGTAGTCCAGGTTAGAGCCTCAGCCCGGGGAACCGCATTGTGTTTTTAGGCAAGACACTTTACTCTCACAGTGCCTCTCTCCACCCACATGTATAAATGGGTACCAGCAAAATGCTGGGGGTAACCCTGCGATGGACTAGCATCCCATCCAGGGGGGAGTAGAAATACTCCTAGTCACTTCATGCTATCGAAACCAATACGCTCTGGCCTGATGGGCCACTAGGCTCACACACACAGACTTGACTTTACCCTACTTGTCAGAGTAAAAACGGTATTACAAAAATGTTTGTTTGTCTTCTTATGAAAAATAAATTTAACTTACCAGTAATGTTGAAAAATATACGTAATGAAAATCAGCCAAAAATAGCTCTCATATTACTTGTATTAACACTATTAAAAAGAAATCATAATTAGTCTTTTACAACAGAGAAACAGAGAAACCTTTTTTGTGGAATCCAGTTTAAGGATGGACCCAAACGTTGATGTGACCTTGGCCTTCAGCTCGTCTAACCGTGACATCACGTCGCGAATGTAGACAGCCAGGAACCAAGAAGGTTTGGGCACTGGAGCCATGTCAGGAATATTTTTTGTTGGCGAGTTGATGGTGAGCATCCTTTTTTGAGCCTGTATGTGAAAAGGCTCTCTGGCCTGTAGAAACCTCAAGACTTGCTGCAAATAATCTTCACTGTGCTGTTCCAAGACTTGTTTGTACAGTTTTGTCGAGGAATGTCTGAGGGTCCTTTCACGTAGTAGCCGGATAACACCTTTATCACAAGAATATCTATAATTAATACCATAACAAAGAAGGTAAGAAAAAAGTTAAACAAGTAATTAAAGAAACAATGGTACACGATTACCAACCTACAAAAATAATGCTGTAACAGTAGTAATAACAATTATTAATCTTTTGTTTAATTTACCGGTGGGTGAGTATAGCTGGAAAGTAACTTTGACGTCCCATGTCTAGTTGCTCCAAGACCAGGTTGGACCACCCAGCAAACTTTTTTCTACAAAACTTGCACTCCAGGTATTCTGTGGCCATGTAGTAGTATCCATCCAAACTAAGAACTTTACGTAAAGTACGATAAAGCCCAGCCTGGGTCAAATACACCTGTAATGAAATAATTGAAGTAAAATATCATTACATAAAAGGATCAATCTGAAAGCAACTAGGACATTATCCCACTGAAGATAGTGTATGTTAAACAGGTCACTTAATAACATGCACAAGAACTATTTACATACATGTAACATGTGTCATCATGTAATGGCTAAAAAATTAATAATTATAAATGATATCTATTTGTGAATCAATAATAAATCAATGACTGACATTGATGGCCAATAACGAGCAAATTGCTAACAAGTTATAAAATATGACATACCTTGCCAAACAAACTGAGATAATGAGACCACATTTGTTACAGACAGGTAGGTTACATACCAACCTTTACTTTTTTTCATCTTGCTTTGCTTGACACTCCTTAGTGCATCTTAAATCAACTGCCCAAATCCTCTGTGGCGCCCAAAAGAAGAATGGTTCGAGGAAGTATGCATCTGGGGAGGCTGGTGGACTGCCATGTTTCTGAATGGGTGCAGGTGGATAACACCACATCTGTGGGTTGGGAGTGATTTCCTGTTTTCCAGTTTGGGCATTTACTCGATACAAAATCTTATTTATCCACTTCTGTTGTTGCACAGGAAGAGATTCTTTCCATGCTCTTGGAAGTGCAATCTGTTAAAGGAGGGATAAAATAAATTGGATCAAACATTGATGATTTATTTCCATTTCTAATTACACTCAAGATCTAGTAATGGTTTATCTGTGGATTCATGCAGCTGAACTAAACACTTTGCAGCAGTTCCTTCACAGGTGTCACAGAGTTCAGTAGATACAGGCGTATCTTACATGTATGCTATAGTAATAGATAATGATTTGCTCCAAAAAATCGACAAGTCAAGAATCTTTGACACAGCTGAAATTCCAGACAACACTGTTATCCTGTCTTAATCCGGAACATTTCCAAAATAATGGTGTGTATTTTTATATGTACAATAATAAAGATCAAAGATGACGATTTATAAGAAAGAATAGCATTGTTACTCAGTAAAATTAAACTCTGTAAGTAAATTATGCTAAAACTATTAGAACACTTAAGAGTCAGATCACCTCTGAAAATGTACTTGTACCACTCTGTGTAGTTGTAGATGACTCTGCTGGTGGATCAGTGGATGTTATTCTCGAAGAACCATGCTGACTCTGGTGGCGTGACTGAGAACCTTGAAAGAGCATAACACTGACATCAGCAGAAATCAAACAAAATTTAAAAAAAGAAGATTCATAAAACTAAATGACTGTATAGGCTAACATAAAGGATGAGAGGCCCAGTCATGGGTACCAAGGACATTGAGAACCATTATAATTATATGTACAATGCCTTTTACCTGTTTCCCTATGTTCAATCTCTTCAACTAGCTGGACAAGGATTTCATCATCTGCTCTTTCTTGCTCCTGTTTTTTTGGAGCTGATCTAGCTTGCCACCAGGATGAGAAACAGGATAATGGAGCAATTCCCTTATATACTTTTTGTGTTCATCTTGGACAGACTCAAACAGGGCTTGTCTTGTCATATGGTTGTATGGCCCAAACCCAACAAGGACTTTTCCCTCTTTGTCATAACTATTAGTAGAATTCGCTTCAGCTTGCACAGTATTCCTTTTTTGTCTTGCTTTAATAGCAGCTTTCATTTCTGGAAACACATTAACATACCTAAAAGTATCCAATGAAAATGCATGTCAAAATTCACAGTATTATAGAATGAATATTTCTTTCAAGCTATCTTCTTTGTAGTTTATCTTAAAATGCAACTTGTCAGTTTTGAATAACTGAGAAGTATTATTTTAGATTTAATGATAAACTACAAAAAGACAGCATGGTCATGATGTTAATACATTTTTATGTGTACATAAATTATTTCCTTTTAATTGTTACAAAGTTTTCTGCAATTAAGTCTTGATTTACCTGTAAAGAGCTTCCTTGTGTTCCCACTGAGCATCATTGGTTCTTTTTGTCTTTTCTCTAGCTTGTTCATGGTCTGCCATTAACATGACAGTCCACCCTATATCAAGAGCCAGAGAAAGCTCTTGCCTTGATATTTACCAAACTGCAAAAAACTCATACTTAGTATCCACTCTTCATTGTCTGGATTGCCACCAGCCTGTATAACTCGCTCTTTTGCTTCTTTCTCTACCTGTTTGAAGAATGGACAAGGCACATTTAACTGAAGCTTTTGTTAGAGGGTAGCAAACAGGGATGTACACTGTAGCTAAGGAAAAGCTAAGCAGACTAATTTATTTATTGAGCCGGCTTTTTACTTAACTGCACCATGGAAAGAACTCCATATCTTTGTTTTCCAGCACAATTTGAGCCAGTGGTAAGCTCTCTTTCACCCAGCAAAATTTGCCGGCAGCTGGCGCTTAGCAACAACCCTGGGCAAAGGGGGGTATCTATCACATATCACACTGATTTTTTGTAGGCCATCACGCATCACGGAAAAAAAGTAAGCCATTAGGCATCACATAGTTTCTCATAACATATCCAAGACACTACACCTATCATGGAAATCTGAAGGGTAAATCGCGCATCACATGTTTGTGAAGTAATAAATCACACATGCCATGTCCAATCATGCATCCCGTGCCTAATTTGAGTCCTATCATGCATCACGCTAATAATTTTGTCACAGGAAACCCCTTTGCCACTGTCTTGTTATAGACATTGATTATCTATCAAATATAAATAGCCTGGTTAAGCTCTTTGTTGGTCTCAATTTTTCTTTTTGTGAAGACAACCTAAAAAATAAGAATCCCTTAATAACAAACACTGCATTCCAAAAAATGAAACTCTCCACCCCAGCGAAATGTAAAACCTTTTTAACAGGATCCTCAACAGAAATGAATAATTCCACCAGACTCTCTTAGTGTTTCATCAGGGTTATACATGTACTACAAAGCTTAACAACTTGCAAGTTATAAACAACCTGTAACCTTCATGGCATCAAATTACTGTACACAGTTATGCAATATACACTCCTCTTGTAATTAAATAGGCTTATTGAGTTTGCCTGACAGTCCTAAAAGATACCTGCTCTTTGGCCAACGTAGGCCCTAAAACTCCTTCATTCTTCTGCCTTTTTATAAGCTCTGCAACATTTTTCGCTCTGTCAGTGCATGACCACAGTAATTCACCTGATCTATAAAACCGAAATTGAGGTCTTCTTGGAGGCAATGCTTGTTTAACCTAATGAACATGGAAGAATAAATGACTAAAAACAAACCAAGAAAAATAACTATGAATTTAATGTTTTTAGTGTTCTCAGGTGGTAATTATAAGGTCAGTATCAATCTGAATAATTGTCTAAATAAAGCTTGCTAGGGGCAACCCCAAAGCTTTTAAAATAGCTCTAAGTCAAATTAATCTTACTGATGTCTAGTGCTTGATAAAAGGCTTATCCGAAAACTAATGCACGTTATAACACAGACCCTCTAAAATGTCTTAATGTTAGATCGTTTGTAAAGAATAAAATAAAGTGGGCCGTTAATATTATCATGAGTATAAGCTTAGATGCCTTTTCGTAGCTAGGACTGCAGTTATTAAAGAACTGACATTCATGAATATATAATATCATACCATATGGTTAATATCTACCACGGAGAGTCTACTAAATAATAAATAACGACGTTAAACTACATAAATGTGAGAAATCTGCTATCCAGAAACTCTACAGACTCTAAATTGGGAGAATGTTGACATATCAATGCAATGCACGTGCGAAAACAATCTGACTGGCTTTATCGATTCTAGAGATATTCGGCCGTGTATACAAGCAGAAAAAAATGAGATATGCTAATGGAAGTGATCCTATCTATTACGAGCTCCAACTATGATTTAAGTGTGTTACGAGTTCGTTTTGTGAGTGGCAGATAGTTCGTAGTCTAAACAGAACGCAGGGTTGTCGGAACAGCAACAAGGTTATTTATTCCAAACGATCGTAGTAAATTCCACACGAAACTTCACAACAAGCACACGCTAGGCTTGTAAATTACAGTTCGACCTCCGTCACACTTGATTAAACACGGCCTCTGCCAAATATACACGCGACCTCTGTCACACTTCAATAAACACGGCCTCTGCCAAACTTTACATGTGACCTTTGTCACACTACAGTAAGCACGTACTCTCTTCTCAAAACAACCTCTCTTAAAAGCTAAACTGATTTGCTTATATACTTATGAGTGTAAGACTCTAGAACTTTCCGGCTCAACTAAATAAAGTAACATTACGTCATAAAACTATTTACAACATCATACGTAAACGGCTTGAAAAACTGCTTAGTCACTATGATGCAAAACTAATTAAATACGCAAGAATATTCTAGACTCAATTAACATACAGTCACACAACAATTTTTCGTAACATAACCCCCTCTTGAGAAGAAATTTCTTAAATTTCTACTAACAACGAAAAATTAATTAAGTAGTGCTAAGAGAGGAGGTAGTCCAATGTCTCTTAAGTTATTCCTCTGCTCTGCTCAAATAATCTGCTCCTACATTCTCGGATCCCTTGATAGCCTCAACTCTAAAGTTGTAGCTCTGAAGAAACATAGCCCAACGCATGAGCCGTCCGTTAGCGAACTTCGCACTGTTCATATATTTCAGTGGTTCGTGATCAGTTTGTAGTACAAAGGGAACTCCGTATAAATACAGGTGAAACCTTTTGAATCCCCACACAATGGCTAAACACTCTTTCTCAATGGTTGAGTAATTACGCTCCGCACTCGACAATTTCTTGCTACTGTAGCAGACGGGGAACAGCTTGCCATCATGTTCCTGCATTAGTACAGCACCAATACCACTGTCGGAAGCGTCAGTCCGCAGAAAGTAGGTTTTCTCTGGATCTGGCAACCGCAGGATTGGTTCTTTTGTGAGGAGGGCCTTGATACTCTGATAGGCTTTCTCTTGTGCCTCGCCCCATTCCACTTTGTTCGGTTGACCTTTACGCATGAGATCTGACAGCGGGGCAGCTAAAGCTGC